GGATGTGATCGTTCCACCTATCCTCGGGGAAGAAATTTGGAAAAAATGCGAAAACATTTCCTCGACGAATACTTGTAGCATCCTTGTGGCCCAGCCATTTGTTGCCTTAGTAGTGCAAGGGACCTCACGAGGTCCCTCCGAGGTCGAGGATCCGCGATATTCGGAGCGGTGAAGGCACGCATCGCCAGTAGTTTTATTTTTTTCATCTGCTCCATCGGTGATCCGGCAGCGGGTGCATGGACATTTTCAACCGCCGACTTTAGGCCTACGCCCAACGGGTCGCAAACAGTTGTCGTTGGAGAACGACGGTCGTCGGGGCTCCTCTTCAGTTGGGCCTCATGTCGGCATGCATCGCTGGGGTTTCCCGCCAGCGTCGGCGGGGTCCAAAGATCGGGAAAATTGAATATTTTGCCCGACCAGACTCCCACATCCCCACCCATGTTAGCGACAGATAACGTTACGGTGCGTCTATCGTATGATGTCCTCTTCCGTTTGCTCCCTTTACCTTCGCCATTTGGTGAACGTCCACTGTTATCGTCGAGATGCCGCCCTGTCTTACGTGTCGCTGATGAACGACCTCTACCGCAGGCTTCGTGTGTTGCTCCTAGTCGCGATTCTGCTTGTCGTCGTCCTCCTGTTCCACGTGTGCATCATCGGCAGGGTGCCCGACCGTACATGCAGGAGGCGGTCACCGAAGAAGGGCGTCGGCATGGACAGCCGGCAGCCGAAGAGCACGACATTATTCGACTCCCTCAACGCTCACCGCGCGCAGCACACCCCTGGTCGAAGGTCACCGCAGTACGACCCGTCTGCGTACGCGCACTTACCCTCGCATGAAATTCCGCTGCCGTCGACAAACGATGAGGCGGAGGACGTAGACTCTCAGACCGTGGCACTCGGGAGTGGATCGAGGCAAGAATGGGCGGGGACCCAGTTGTTTGGTAGTCGGATGTATATAGTCCAACCGGTGCAAGTAATCCCTCTCAAAAGTCGGAAGATCCACCCAATGGTAGGTACTAAACCAGTGATGTGCATCTTCTCCCAAGCGGGCCGGAATATTGATCCTAGCCTCATGATCATCGTATTGTTGTGCCCGGAGGGTGTCTACCACGCTCCTGCTAGGTGATGTGCTCGGTCAAACAGGTACAAATCGGAGGGGGCAGCTGGTGCGCGTACACATGCGGGAATCAGGGCCACTTGCGCAACGGGATTCGGCGTAGCGTGTTGATTAGCATTAACTACCGGGTTAGCATTCATGTTGGCCCTCTGTCGTCCCGCAGACCTACTCTGAGTGACTACAGGCTCCCTTGTCGGCTCATTTTTATTTTTAGATCGGGATCGACTTGGGCTCGCCAGATCGATCAGCTATGGAGACCAATGACTCCTTAGTCCTTAGTTTGACATGTGTCGGTGCTCCAATACCAACCTCATGCCAGCGCGTCTTCCTGATCTGAGTGGGTAGTAGGTGGAAGTAGCGAGAAAGGAGGTGTGCCAAGGATYTTAGGGAAAAGAGGCGGAGTCCCAGGCCAGAACGGGAATCTCCGGTGCCAATGGTTTAAGGACGAGGATGCAAGTGGTTTRRGTAGGGAAAGGAGTGTTCTGAAGTTCCGGTATATGCAATTGTGGTCGTTGGATATCGCCGCTACGGGCTCATACTCGYGACGGCCCGACCGGCCTTCCTACTCATGGCGACTGGGTAGTTGCAGAACCGTCAAAAGAAAAGGAATATGCAAGCGCGTGTATGCACCACGAAGCGCGTTGTCGGCGAGTTRTAGAGCATGCGCAATCCGCATGAATTCCTCTTCTCGGACGTTAAACAAAACGACCAACATGCCTTCCCTTTTATTTTTAGTATTCCGATCTCAAACAAGCATTCATTCTCCAATCATAATCC